GCCGCTGCAGAGTCTCTGCTGGCAACTTTGCCTCATCTCCCTGCTGTTACCTGTTGATTTGGGATCCATCACCTTGGGAAGAAAAGGTTCTACCCTGCCATCTGTAGTGCCCTCTACACAGTGGAGGCCGATTAAATGTTTAATAAATTATTCAATTAATGAGTCCACAAGCCAAGATGTTAATTAGTTTTAATGTGTCCTCCTCAAGGAAGAACTGAAGGCGCTCCTGGGGCCCCGTACTGCCAACCCCCTGTCGGGGGGTGAGCCCCCGCCTCAAGGACGGCCACACCCTCTGCCGGAAGGTGAAGTGGATGGCCGTGCCACTGGGCCAGGGCACAGGTGAATGAGTGCCCGTGGTGGTCCGTACCCTGGCCTGGATCACCCCAGGTCACCCCAGGCTGCAGGGCAGGAGAGGGGCAGGCTGCAGAGGAAGCCAGCTGAGATCTTCTAGGAAGCTGGCCGAGATTTTCTAGGAAGCCTGTGAACCACTTCCACAGGGTGCTTTGTATATATTTACATGGCTCCAGGCTTTGATTCCAAGGCAACCAAAATACCAAAGGTGACCCAGGACGCAGGCCTGTACCTGCTTTCAGGATAGGGAGGGGAGTGGGGGGGAAGGGGCTGCAAGGAGGGGTTGGGCTGGAGTCAGGTGCCTCCTCACGCCTAGGATGGCCAGGTGCCCTGGTGTGCCCGGGACTGAAGGTCTCTTGGGAGGCAGGGATTTTAGAGCTAAAACTAGCAAAGTCCTGAGTGGGCATGGCTTCACCTCTGCGGTGCCCACAGCCGCCCAGGCCAACGCGCTCCGTGTCAGGACGTAGTAACCGGCATTGACTGAGCACCAGCTGTGTGCCCCATGTGTTCAGGGAACTCTCCCTTCAGGGAAGGACAGAAAGAGGAGACAGCACGGGAGTCCATTTTCCGGTGCAGACAGTCGATATTCTCCCCCAGTGGCATCTCTGCCCTGGTGTGTATACCTGTGCGTACAGGCCAGTGACTCGGAAGCCGGTGGCGGGGCAGCCGAGTCCTAAGGAGAGGCTTTCAGGCTGTCTGGGGAGGCCAGACTCGCCTGACAAACCAGCGGAGAGCAGGAGGCCAGGAGGGGTTCAAGGGCTGTGGGCAGGGTGCAGCCTCCTGGCCCAGAGGAGGGAGGGCAGTGTGGGCGGGCAATCAGAGGAGGGGTCCTGGAGGAGGTGGGGCGGCGAGGAGAACACGAGGTGACTGCCATCACACAGGGCAGTGGAGGTGTTTCGGGGGTGTCTGAGGCAGGGGTCGGTGGGGGGTGCAGGTGGGGGTGAAAGGAAAGAGGGAAGATGAGGGTGGCAGTGGGATCCACGTGGTCCCGGCTGCGACAGGGTGGCCTGTCCCAGGGCAGCGGCCCTGGGGATGGAGGCCTCGAGGTTTGGCAGGGGTGGAGGGGACGAGGCCAGTGCCAGAGGACAGGACGTCAGGAGGAACCAGTTTGCAAAGGAGAGTTCAAGATTGCTTCTGTTAATCCTTGGGAGCCAGCAGAACTTCGGAGAGACACACTGCTAACCAGAAGCTGACGGCCTTGGGACAGGATAGAGTAGGCGGTCCCTAGAGTTTATGTGAGGCTGACAGGACAGGGAAGACTGGCCCAGGGAGAGGTGTCAGCTGGAAGAAGCGGTCCCGGCCTGGGGAGGAGCTGCAGGGCCAGTGCAGATGGAGAAGCCGTTCCTGGCGTAGGGAGGAGTGTTCTGGGATGCTGGTATCTGGAAGGGCAGCTGCGGCCTTTGGATGGGATCAAGTCCAGGCTCCTTCGCATGTTGGAGTCAGAGAGGTCCCCTTGCTGGTCTTCCCTGTCCGGAGGTAGGTCCTCCCCAGAAACCGGGGACTTGACCTCCTCGGCCTGAGGGGTGTGGCTGGGCCTGAGCCTGGAGCGTCCTCAGGCCACCCCAAGCCTCATGAGCCTGGCGCCACCGGAAACCTTGCAGCCAGGGCTCAGCCCGTCTCAGCCACAGCAGGGCATGGGCCCTGAGCTCCTGCAGGAAGGGCAGGGCCAGGGCCAGGCACAGGAACAAGGGAGAAAATGGTCCTGCCCATTGAGGCACCTACGCAGCCCACAGACAGAGGACGCACTGGGCTGGTTTACTTTGGAACCTGAGGCTGCCTGGCTGCTGGGAGCAGGGAACTTCACCTGGAATCTGGTTTCAGAAACCACTCAGCCCCGAGGGTCTGGGTGCTCTGCTGGGGGCCAGGTGGGACAAGACCCTTCCTAAGACCCAGGGCCCCGCCATCAGGGCCTCTTAATCGATGCATCAAATAAGAAGACCTGGCAGCAGGTCTGAGGAGTACTGCAGTTTGGAAGTATCGATGAGCGTTAATGACATTCTAGATACCTGCTGCACCGTAGTGGGACAGGGGAACCTCCCTCTGCAGTCTCTGCAGGCTGTGGTTACTGCTGAACACGTCTGTTTTGCTGCCTACCTTCCCATGGAAGGGAATGCTGAATTTCAGTGAAAGGTTAATGAGAACGAGAGGCCCTTGCCCCCCAAATTCTCTCCCCATCCCTCCGAGAGGTCTGTTAGGAACCCCTAAACTACACAGACAAAGCAAAGCAGTTCTCTGCTATTAGCAGTCGGCAGAGGGGTCACCCTTGGCGGGGGAGGGTAACTGGTTAGTGATAGTGATGGGAGGGGACCCTAAGTCTGAGGGACGGGGAACAATTCATTTCTTCACCTGGATGCTGGTCCCAGGTGCGTTCCGTTTGTGGAAATCCATCTGCCTGCACCCTTAGGATCCCTGCAGCAATCCGCATGAATGGTTGGTTTCGATACAAATTTTAAAAACACCTTTACTAGAACAGATGTGTATGCAGGTGCAAGCTTGCACATGCATGCACACACACACACGCTGGTGTGTGCCAGGGAGCCTCGGCAGGTCCATGACTCGCGCCTGTCTCCAGAACCCGGCAGGCGTGTGGACGCAGACAGATACCGTGAGGCAGGGGCGGACAGACTATTTTTAGGAATTAACTCCAAGCAAACGGGGGGCCTCCTGACTTACAGGCCTGGAGATTGCTCGGGGCGGGGAGGGTCGCCCTGCAAGGGGCTGCTGTCGTTCCAGGCTGGCTTTTTTAATTTTTAAAGAAAAAGAATAATGACATGAACTGTTTCCATAAAAATAATACGAGATCAGCATACTTTATTCAGGCACTGAGGACAAGGACAAGGAAGAAGGTTGGAATTTACCCAGATTTCCTCCAGCGAGGGAAAGAAATCGCCGTTCGAGTTTGGTGACGAGTGTCACAGACTCGGACGGGAGGTAGACAGAGACGTGCTTTTGCAAAAGGGAACCGACGCCCGCACCTGCTCTTTGTCACAAAGATGTTTCTTTCACTTTACTTGAACGCGACCGAACAAGAGGCCAAGGGGCAGGGTGGTTCTTAAAGCCGGGGTCCTGGAACCTCCCGCCTCGGCCTGCGCCTCCCGGGGACCAGAGGGCCCTTTGGAGGCCTGCCCGTGCTGTGTGTGCCCGCCGTATACCTGGCCCCTGGCCAGACGCCTAATCTGTAGCAATCCGCCGTGCTTGGGGCCAGGCTCCGGGAGGGCTGTGTGCAGGGCGGCGGCAGCTCTCAGGGGTCACTGGCGACAGGTTTTGCAGGAGTACGATCGAGGCAGAGCTGGCCCTCGGTGGACAGAAAGGGATTCTGCCCTGGCAGCGGTCTCCGACAGGTGCCCGCCCGCCCTGCGCTCTCCAGCTGGTGCCTGGCCAGCCCCGGGTTTGATGTAATTAGCGACGCCGCTTCCCGGCCCCGGCGGTGTCCTCGTCAGGAGCCGTGCCGACCACATCCTGTTTTGGTGGGGCAGCCGGCAGCACATTCCCCGGGCTCTGTGTCATGGGCAGACCGTGTTCACACCAGGCCCTGGATCCCTGGGGGCCGCCGGGGGCCGCATTCTCCCGGTTTGTCGTCACGCGCTTATGCCGGCCGGGCGACCTGGTGGATCAGTGGTCATGGTCTTTCCGGGTCTGCTGTCCCGTGGGATTGGTCCTGGTTTGTCAGACTGGGGAGGAGGAGGGGGCGAGCGAAGGCCTGAGATGCACCCTCAGCATTGCCCACCTTTGCAGGGGTGCCTCGCCCTGGGGGTTTCGCTGCGGGCGCCCTGGGCAGGGCTCCTCCGCAGCTGTGCCCACCAGGGTGCCGACGTCTGGAGGACAACTCCAGCTGTCCCCAGAAGCCCCCAGGGTTCGCCCGGGTCTCTTGCAGCAGACAGGGCACACCCAGGCCCCATGTGAAGTCCATGCCCCTCCCCGAGGCTGGCCCTGAGTGCCATGGGAGATCAGGCAGAGTGACCCCCACCCTGGGACCCCACCACCCTGGCTGGGGGATCTGCCTGGAGAAGAAGCCCAGAGTGTGGGATTTGGCCCAGGAGGCCTCTGATCGTCCTCATGGGGCCCCAGGGTGACCTGCAGAAGGGACGCGTGTGGGAGGAGGGCTTGCACGGGGGTGCCTGCCCATGCCCTTGACCCTCGGCTGCGTGTTCCTCCTCACTCGGCTCCTCATTCGTTTGCTCGGGGCCAGCCCTGCCCGGGACCTGGGGTAAAAGGGTGACGGGCCCTGTCCTCGCCCCACGGGGTGTCCCTCTCCGTCCACAGTGTGTCACACAGTCGTGAAGAGTGTCTCAAGGTGTGTTTTGTTAAGGAATCCACGGATGCGAGTGTTTCTTCTTATGCTGTGTGGGGCGGAGTGAAGGGGCTTTGGTGACGCCGTCACTCTCGCCTGCTTGCAATCAGACCTGCTCGTTGGGACGGGAAAGGGAGCAGGGACCCTCCTGCGGGCCCCCGTGCACACACCACAGCCTACAGGGCTCTGGGTTCCCCTGCGCCGGTGTCCACCGGGTGTGCCTGTGGGGACTCGGACACCTGGGGTCTGGGAGCATCTTGGCAAACCCGCCCTTCGGTCCGCCCTCCAGCACGGCCACTCCCCGGCGGGCGGGTCTGGCCCTGGGCGCCACGTCAGGCCTCGTGTTTGTCTCTTGCAGCCTCCCCACAGGCAGCCTGAGGACAGCCTGGGCCCCAGAAGCAGGATGAGAAGATGGCAGACTTCCTGTTACCTCGGGGCACCGGCACCTTCCACAGGTTCACCCGAGAGTCTCTGGCGGCCATCGAGAAGCGCATGGCGGAGAAGCAGGCCCGAGGCTCGGCCGCCTCGCAGGAGAGCCGGGACGGGCTGCCCGAGGAGGAGGCTCTCCGGCCCCAGCTGGACCTGCAGGCCTCCAAAAAGCTGCCGGACGTCTACGGCAACCCACCCCGAGAGCTCCTTGGGGAGCCCCTGGAGGACCTGGACCCCTTCTATAGCACCCAGAAGGTGATGGCCCCCTGCCCCCTGCCCACGTGTCCATGCAGCCTGGGGAGAGGGCCTTGGCGCCACGCGGGGCTGTTTGGAGCCAGCTCCTCGGGGCTGTAGGGCAGTGAGTCATGGGCGATCTAGATTCCAATCACCTTTATTCTGGAGTTCGAGTCAAGGGCCCGAAATGTGCGGCCCCAGAGGTTGGCGTTGTAAAGAAAGAGAGGGCGGCCACGATTAAAGCCTTGCCTCATGGCGGAGTGCCTACTTTGGGGATTGTCTGGTGCGTGTGAAACGGAGGTGGGCCCCGAGTCCCATCCTGAGTTGGGCTTGGGCCCCCAAGCACAGCATGGGATCCCCTCTCCTAACTAGGGACAAGGGGCAGCCCCCCAAGCCCGCCTCAGAGAACTTCCTGGCCCTCAGTTGGGCCAGGGTGGCCTGAACTGGGGACCTCGGACGCAGCTTCCTGGGCTTTGTGGCTGGCAAGGGGACCGGGCCAGCCCGCAGGAAATCTGAGAGGGTGGGGAGGGGCTAGCTGTGCTTCTGTCCCTCCTGAGTGTCAGAAGAGGAGAAGTGGCTTTTGTCCACTAGGCAGGGTGAGTTCGGGTCTCTCCCAGGATGGATTTCCGTCCAGGAGATCAAGTCCCCTACCTGGGTCCCCTGCTCTGGCCTCACTTCTCAAGACTGACCGCCCAGCCCCGCACCGGGCCAGGCCACAGGCACACCGGGCTCCCTGCGGAGGCCTGCTCCCCAACCCAGCTGCCCTCACTTCAGGCCTCACAGCTGGAGGAAGGTGGGTTTGAACTTGGGGGAGGCCTTGCCCCAGAAGGCCGGGGACCGAGGCCGAGGACAGTGGCTGCTCACATCACTGCGGTCAGTGCCAGGGCCGAGGAAGCAGCACAGCCGGGACGGGATCCGAGTTCCAGGGCAGTGGGAGTCCGTGACAGGTGTAGGGGTTGTGTGTCTGTGCTGCAGGGCACCTGACTGTGCTCAGAGCACGTTTAGGAGACCAGGGGGCTGAGGGTGGGTGTGGTTCCAGGTTGGCGCCATGCGTAAATGCTCGAGTGGCTGGGGGAGAGCAGCCTTGTGTGCACCCGAGGGTGGGAGAGGAGACCTTGAACCTGGTCCTGCTTCTCCGGGTTCCAGTGACTCGGGGGTTAAGGTCAGTGGCTGGGGCCACAGTTCGGGCCAGAGTTAGCCTGGAATTGGGGGTCAGTCAGGATTGGTGGGCTTAGGTCAGGGTTGGTCAGGACGGGAAGTAGGAATTAGGTTGGGGTTAAGACCACAGCCGGCAGCGAGTCAGAGTGGCAGTAAGGTCAGAGTGAGCTGGGACAGGCAGGAGTCACAGCAGGAGTCACAGCAGGGGACCCAGTGGGGAGCGCGGTCCTGGCTGGGCTGGCCGAGCTTATGGGGGCTGGGGGCAGCTCAGCCTGGAAGGAGTCAGGGACACTCTTCTGACCCCGGGACTGGGAATGCTTGAACCGTGGCCCAGGTGTGAGTCTGGTCTCCAAGCTTCCGTCTCTCCTTTCTGACCCCCAGCCACACTGCCACGGCCCCGCAGGGTGACTCGAGCCCCACAACCGCATTTTTGGTCCCAGTAGATCTGGTCAGCTTGGCTGCCCAGCCCAGATTCAATGGACCTTGTCGCACCAGCAGCAGCAGCCTGGGTGAAGCTTGCCCCCAGAGCTGCACCCCCTCTGCCAGGCTGGCCCGACAGCCAGGGAGGGGTGTAGGCTGCTCCCTGCCAGGGCTGCCGGAAAGCCCACTCCGAGTGCATGGAGCTCAGCCACAGCACAACACTCAGGCCCCGCTGTGCAGGGTGGACAGTGTCAGCTGGGTGCTTGGGGAAGGGTCTTCCCAGGGCTGCTCACGGTTCCCCCAGGGGGAGACGCTGTGGCGTGACGTGGGGCTGACGTGTGTCCGGGCTCCGCGAGACAGAGTCCCAGGCGGTGCTGCTCTCTGCTGGGCTGGGGTCTGCCCTTCCTCACCCCTACTCCTCACCCCTTAGTCTTCTCTCTCCCCTGTGCCTGGGGGAAAGCCACGCCAGGCGGGGGTGGGAGGTAGGGGTGAGAAGGGAGAAGGAGAAGGGGGTGCATTAGCTGGGTCCTGGCTGTGGCAGCAGCTCGGCTAGGATTGGGAGAGGCCCCTCCTTGCTGGGACAGTAATTCTGAAAGTGCAAATCCCATTCGCCGTTGACATTCTGCTAAACTTGACCTCATCCCGCTCCAGCTGTGGCGACCCAGTAAGGGTCCGCTGACCTGCAGAAGGCGCTGCGTCCCCCATCCCTCACTCTCCCGCAGACCCTCTCTCCTCCCCGCCCCACCCCCGAGCCAGGGCTCTGAGGCTTTGCGCCGACAGCTGCCCCCCAAACCTGTCTGCATGAGGGCCCGGGGACTGCCACCCCGACCTAAAGCAGCTCTCTGTCCACAGACCTTCATCGTGCTGAACAAAGGCAAGACCATCTTCCGGTTCAGTGCCACCAACGCCTTGTATGTCCTCAGTCCCTTCCACCCCATCCGGAGAGCAGCCGTGAAGATTCTGGTTCATTCATATCCTTTGCAGGCGGTCCCTGCTGCATGTACGCTCGGAGGTCCCCGTCGAGGGTGGGGGGATGTTCCCCAAACAAGCAGCATGGTCATCAACCAGGGAGCAGGTTGAAAATGCAGAGTCTCCGACCCCTGCCCCAGGCCTGCAGGTCAGCGCCTGTGTTTTAACAAGGTCCCGGCAGATCCCTGGGCACGTGAAAGTTTGGGAATCCCTGCTCGGATTCTGCAGGAGAGAAACGTCCTAGGAGCTCAACTGCTGAGCATCCGGGAAGAAATGAGGCCTGTTGGTGTCCCCTGGCTCTGATATTGGCTCCAGGCGCCCCCTCCCTCGCCACCCGCTTGCAGGGACCTCAAGCAGGTCACCCCCAGGCTCAGCCAAGGAGACACCGCTTCCCGGGAAAGAGGCCTCGGGCTCCTTCGCTTGTGGGTATCTTTCGGGGAACACGACACTTGCTTTTTGATTAGGTGTTGACAAAATGTTTGCAGTTCCAGAGTGTCTCAAAGAACTCTGGTTAGCGTTCAATTATATAAACCACAGCCCAAAAAAGCCGCAGGCTGCCGAGGAGAGCTGCGGAGTGCCGCCATGTCACAGGGGAGGTGTACTGGTCTCTGGACCACCCGCAGGACGGGGTGCCGGCACCCAGTCATGGCTGTTTCGCAGACTTCAGGAAAGGGGCCCCTGCAGACGGAGCCCCTCGGAGAGGGGGTGGGCGCTGGCTGCAGAGGCACGGGCATCTGTTTCACTGGGACGGCCCGGGCAGCCCTCCTCTGCCGGGCGGCCGGCTCTGATGTCCGCGGAACCCGTGCTGCTGGGCCCAGCGGTGCGGTCAGTCGTGGGTGGGGTGGGCTGGCCTGATGCAGCTCCTGAAGGTCTCCCTCATTTCCCCGCTCTGGGTGGCCGAGGAAGAGACCTCACCCATTAACCTCTGGGCAGGCAGGAGGCTTCGGGAGAACTGCTGCCCCACGAGGGACCGTGGGGGACGAAGTAACCAAGGTGGGTGCGAATGGCCCGGGGGTTTTCCTGTGCAGGCCGGAGTGAGGACTGCTCCTTCCCAACCCCGCGTTCCGCCTCCCTGGGCCCCAGGCCCGAGTCTCACCCCAGGGATGAACTGGAGGCTCTCAGTGCTGAATCTGTTCTGTGCTCACAGACTCTGCCCATTCCTGCCTTTCTCATGAGGCTGCTGAGCTTCGTGTGAGTCTGGGGCAAATCCCACCTTCAGGCTGTGGTGGAGGCATCAGCAGGGTGGTCTCCTGGGTGGGCTGTATTCAGGGGGCAGCCTCTCCATTCACAGCTACTTCTTTCCGAGACGAGAGTGGTCCTTGACTTAATGTTGAGCCATTCTGCCACTGTTCCCAAGCCCCCTGCAGAGGCGAGGGACTTTGCTGGGCAACCTGGGATTATAAAGTTGCATAAGACCCTGTCCTTGCCCCCCTTGGGAATGTTATAGTCCCCAACAAGTGACAGAACTGCTACAGGAACAGTGTCATTCCTGCAGGTGTGTGGGCACAGCCTGGCGAGAACGGCGGGGCGGGCGGCCGGATGAGGAGAGACCCGCCTTCTTTCTCGCGCTGAGCCTGACTTGGGCCTCGCTCCGAGGGCGGGCCTCCCTGGAAGCCAGCTTCGGCTCCCCCCTGGGGCTTCTCCTCCTGGTTTCTAACCAACCCGGCAGTGCTTGGCAGCCAAGGCAGCCCCCAGAGATGCGGCGGCAGCCCCAGGGTTCCTGCGGGGCTCTGGGCGGGGCATGGAGCCCATGAGGCCAGGGAGGCAGGTGGGGGCACTGGAGGTCCCAGCCTGGCCAGAGGGCCCGTTGAGCGGTGGATCTGAGGCTGTGAGGTTCTGGTGCCACATAGCAGGACCGGCCGGCCCTGTGGGCTCTGAGCCAACCTGTGTTGCTCAGGGCAGCTGCCCCAGGGAAGTGGCTCAGCAGGAGAGAGGCCCCGTGCTGGGTTCTTAGCCAAAGCCTTAACACTCCCCTACTTGGGGATGGATGGGCAGGCACTGCAGGCCCTTGGCAGCGCCCCTTAGTGGGCTGGGGGTGGGGCACTGGCAGAGAGGAAGGGACCTAGATCTGCAGGGCTTGGGGGCAGCCCCAGGCCCTGAGCTCGCCATTCGCAGCGTGGCACACCCACCCGTAGCATTGGATCTTGTAGGAATCGCCGGATCTCGGGCCCACCCTGTGTTTCAGCACAGCGCCCAGGGCCCCTGAGCACACTGACCTGGGCAGACCTCAGTCTGTGAGGGCCACCTCGGTCCCCCCCAGGAAGTTCGTCACAGTCACAGGTTCCTGCTCTTTCCAGACCACAGTCACTTTCCTGTGCATCTTCTTAGTGAAGATGTAATTCACCTGCCACCAAAGGCACCATTTTAAGCTGTGCAATTTGGCGGGGTTTAGTGTCTTCATAAGGCTGTGCCAACAGCACTGCTGCCTGCGTCCAGAATGTTTATCGCCCCAGGGAAAACCCCCTCGCCCGGCCTCACTCACTACGCATTCCTCCTGCACACAGATTTCGTGCTTTGCATCATGAACCTCCTCTCCGCTTACATCATTTTCACTGTGGTTAAAAATCCTGTAGCATGACATCTGCCCTCTTAACCCTTTTTAAGAGTCCCGTGCAGTTATGTTGCCTGTATGCGCCTTGCTGTGCAACAGATCTCCAGAAACTTTATTTTTATTTTTTATTTTTAGAGGAGGGAGAAAGAGAGGGAGAAAAACATGGATCAGTTGCCCCTCACACGCCCACAGCTGGGGACCAGGCCACTGTTAGGCATGTGCCCTGACCGGGAATCAAACTGCCGACCCTTGGGTCCGCAGGCCGGTGCTCAGTCCACTGAGCCACCCGAGCCAGGGCTGGAAACTTTTTTACCTTGCAGAACTGCAACTCTCTGCCTGCAGCTGGCTTACATCTTTATATCTTTTCAAACCTCTGAGTCCTCAGAGAGCAGAGGTCCGTGTCAGGCCCTTTGGGAAGAGCAGGAGGGGCAAAGACAAGCTTGAAAGGGGGCAGGAGTGCAGCCCCCCCTCCCCACTCTCGAGAAAGAGATCTCACTTGCCGCAGCGCGGGCACTCGCAGTGACACGTTGGCGAACGCACGCCGCGTGAGTTGACCAATTCACCTTCACCCCGGGGTCCACGCTGGCAACGCGGCCCTGGGAAGGGGCCTCAACGGTAAATACGGGCACGTCGAATTCTTTCTTCCTATGTATTTTTGTTAAAATGCTGCAGGGTGTGTTCCCGCTAGGATCCAATCAAAGGAACCCACTGCGCTCCGAATGCCACGGCAGCCGCATTCAGAGAGTCCTCGCGTTCACGCCGGGCGGCGCTTTGCTCTCCTGGGCGCACAGCTCTGCGCACAAAGCCCTCCCACGCTCCTCCGGCAGACTCAAATGGGCAATCACACCGCGTGTTTGTGTGTGTGTGTGTGTGTGTGTGTGTGTGTTCATTAACGAGCACGAATCTCTGAAAAATTCCCCCACAGCTAATTTCCTTCCCTCTGGGAGTTGTGGGACTTCTCGGGCTCTGAAGACAGGCAGCCGAGATGCAGACCTTCCCAGTGACCCACGCAGGCAGTTCTTGCTGGCATTTTCATCGGGAGGCTGGGAGTGGGTGTCTGGGGACAATGACACGGCAGGATTGAAGATGTTCAGCTGCGCCCGGGCCCCGAGAGCCGGCCTGTGCTTCTGCCCACACACAGGACCAGCTCGGCCGTCGGCCTGAAACCGCCAGGCGGTGCAAACAGGTGCGCCCCAGCCGGGAGTGCGCCTGACTCATCTCTCCGGTATTGGCTGCGTGCAGGGCTCCATGGGGGACCTGGGGATGCTTTGGGCAGAGCCTCACGGACTAGAGGCTCAGTCCAGGTAGGAAGAGATCGCACACACTCACACACACAGCACACGGGTGCACACATAGTGGGAAAGTGGTCCTCAAGGCCAGGAGAGCTAGGCAGAGTTTTGAACAGTCAAGGGGCAGAGACTAGTGTCTGCTGCGCCCTGAGCCATGGCTGCGTCTGGAAAAGCCAAAACCCAGCCAGGCAGCCCCTGCCATTTCCCATCATGGGACCCAGGCCCTGGTGGGCAGGACTCAGAGGATTATCTGCTCTGGCTCTTCCCTAAATCTTGCTGTTGGAGTCCAGCTCACCTCTGTCTGTGTCCACTCAAGTCCTCTGGTCCAAGGCGGCCCGTCCACCCTGCCACTCGCTGCCAACGGGCCTTTCCTGCACCCTGGTGAGAGCTGTGGACGGTCCCCCTGCAGCCAGGAGAGGCTCGGCTCTGCAGAGAGGGGTCTCCCCAGCCTCAGCCCACCCCGCTTTGCCGCAGCCAGCTGGGCGTGCTGGAGGCCCAGCCAGCCTTCCGTGCCTGTCTAAGAGCCTCCTCCAGGAAGCCTGGCCAGAGGCAGGTCTGGTTTCCTGTAACGCCCCATCCCCCAGCCATTTGGTGGCTCCAGGGCCTCCCTGTCTCCCACACGGGGCCAGACACACATGCTCAAGGCGCAGTTCTTAAACATCACAAACAAGTCCACTCTTCCTGTGTGGCGGTCCGCTTATACACCTTTAGTGTGAGCCCTGCACGCGTTTGATTGTCAGTGCTGCCCTGTGGGTGGCAGAGGCCAAGGTGGGGTAACATTCCCCCTCGGGGGGCGAGGGCCTGGAGCAGCGCGCCTCGCGCTGGCCCTTCCGTCTGGAGGCAGGTGAGTGGCCCGGGTGACCCGTGGTGTCACCGTACAGAGGTGGTGTAGCGGCAGGGCTCGGAGTGGAGGCTGAGCTGGGCCATCGACCAGCTCCGTACCTGCGGTGGTTTTCTGCGGCTGCTGTAACAAACCACCACCAACTTCACAGCTTAAAACGACACGAAGTCATCACCTTATAGTTCTGGAAGCCAGAGATCCAGAAAGCTCTCGCTGGGCTAACAACAAGAGAGCGGCGGAGCTGCGTTCCTTTTCGGAGGCTCCAGGGGGGAACCTGTTGTCTAGGCTTTTCCAGTGTGTAGAGGCCTCGCGCATTCCTGGCTGGCGGCCCTGTTCCATCCTCAAGGCCCGTGACAGCCGGTGGAGTCTTTGTCACATGCATCACTCCGAGGCTGGCTCTCTGCCCCGTGCTCTCACTTGTCAGGACCCCGGGGTGACCCTAGGCCCACCCAGAAAATCCAGGATAATCTCTACACCTGAAGGCCCTTCATTTAATCACACCTGCAAAGTCCCTTCTCCGTATCAATTCACAGTCCTAGTTTCCAGGGATGAGGGGGCTGTTACTCCGCCTACCACAGTATCCTTCAACTTGACCTCTGCGCCTGGGTCTCCTCCTCTATGGAAAGGAGACGAAGTCCCCACCTACCTTGTGGGGTGTTGGGAGAATCGAATTAGCTCACAAGAGACAGCAGAGCCCAGCATCCGGGAAGGGCTCCGTAAGTGCTGGCTGTTAGCGTCATGTCACATTTTGGGAATCATCGGAGTCCTCAGCAGAGGGCTTAGCAGTGGATCTGTGGGGATGAGTAAAGGCTGGTTGAGGGGCTTGTTAGCTGTCTGCCCAGTGAGGAAAGATGCAGCGTGGGACCCAGGTGTGGGGAGAAAGTGTGTGTGTGTGTGTGTGTGTGTGTGTGAGTGAGAGAGAGAGGGAGAGGGAGAGAGAGAGAGAAAGGACACTGAGATGGGTCTCTGGTCCTGCCCTTGAACGCTGCAGAGGGAGGTAGGCCCGCCCTGGAGACCATCACACAGGCCGAGGGATGCAGACTCCAAGCTCAGGGCGGGGCCCCAGTGCCTGGAGAGGTGTCCCCTGGCCAAGAAGAAACCCAGGCTTTCTGGGGCCATGGCCTCTGAGCTGAGCAGCTCTGGCTTGACTAAAGGGGGTTCCGAAGGCTTATCCCGCTCACCCCAGACAAGAAACTGGAGAATTGGTTGTACGCTGGGGGCCGGGTTTGGTGTGCCATTACCCGGTCCCCTAGATTTTCTAGAAGGAGGACTGGAGGTGTGGGGAGCATCCACGTGGCACCCTTGAGAGGCCTCCCCTCTCTCCCCGGCTGAGGCGGCCCCTCCCCTGAGAAGTCAGCACCTCAGCTCAGCCTGACCTCCGGTGGGACAGCACTGGCCTCCCCTTCGGCCCGCCAGGCCGAGGCTGGGTCAGACCGTGAAAGGTGGAGCTGTAGTCAGTGGTGGCCTCGCTGACCACCGCCACCCACGTGGTTTTCCTTGACCCCGGGGCCACGCTCTTCAGCATGCTCATCATGTGCACCATCCTGACCAACTGCGTGTTCATGGCGCAGCACGACCCTCCCCCCTGGACCAAGTATGTCGAGTGAGTATCTCCAGCCAGCCCCTCCCTCCCGCATCCTTTCTGTTCAGTGCTCTGGCCCCTGAAGGCCCCCCTGAAGAGGGCTGGGTCCAAGCTCAGGGACCCACTCACCTGGCGGTGGGGGGGGGGCCTCTTTTGCTGCTCCCACTCCTGCCAGCTTCCTGCGGGGAGTTGTGCCCTCGGGGGAGGAAGTTTTCTGGGCTGATGAAGGGGGCGTTTCTCCCAAAGAGGTCCGACATCGGAAAAGGCTCTGAAATAATAACAGATAACACTTGATGGAGCACTTAGTGTGTGGCAGGAGATGCCACAGGACAGCACACCTCATCTCCGAGAGCCCTCACGGCAGCCCGGGAGGGCAGGCACGGCCCTGTCTGTTCGACAGAAGGAGGCAGCATTGAGGAAGGAGCTCGCCCAATACCGCGCGGCTGGGAGCTCTGGCCCCCGGGGCCACCCCGACCTCACACCGTACATACTCTGCTGCCCTTTCCCTCCAAGTCCTGCCTCCTCTGACCATTTGCATGCTTTTAGAAAGCCGCTTCCGACCTTGCCTCCCCAAGCCAAAGGCCGTCCCCCACAGGTGCTAAGCAGATCTGATAGGCCCCTGGCGCGCACGTGGCTCCTGTGTTCAGGAGACCGAAGTGGCTCACCTGGTGGCCGTCCCTGGTCACAGAGGACCAGCAGTGCCGGGGCCTGCACCCAGGTGCTCAGACCTGGGCCACCGTCCCAGCGTCCAGGCAGTTGGCATCCTTCAGCACACCCCAGGCAGAGAGAACAGCTCCCCTAGCCCTGCCTTAAGTGTGAGAACATCAACTTCTCTCCAAGGTCAAGGTAGACACCCATAGCCACCTACCCGGTAGGCAGTTGAGGATGGACCATGCTCTCCTGACGAGCTGCTGAGGACCCTTCAACAAGGCTGGGAGGCCGTGGTTGTGGGTGTCCTTACTGTCCCACGGGGCAGGCCCAGTGCTCACCATACGCCTGTAGACATGAGCTCCCTGGGCTGGGGTAAAAAGGTAGGTGGAGGGTCTTCTCACATCAACAGAATGCAGAGAGAGAAGATGGAGGGTCATGTGGGCACATGGCAGGCTCTCCGTGATAACTAAACAAACGGGAAGATGGGTTCGTCGGCTGGAGGTTCGAAGCAAAGCTCCAACCTGCAACTCCCACTCTGCCAGGGGGCCTTGCAGAGAGCCTGGTCTGAGGGCCGTTCAAGGGAGGGGCTGCCCAGGACTGATGCCACCTGGGGAATCTGGGGAACCTGGCCCCGCAGGCTTCCACCTCCCTGAGGAACCCGCCTGCCTCTTCTCCCCAGGTACACCTTCACGGCCATTTACACCTTTGAGTCTCTGGTCAAGATACTGGCTCGAGGCTTCTGCCTGCATGCCTTCACCTTCCTCCGGGACCCCTGGAACTGGCTGGACTTCAGTGTCATTGTCATGGCGTAAGTACCACGCCCGCCCACCACACTGTGCTGTGCCTCGCCGGGCCGCACGGAGGGGCAAGTGCACCGCCCTGTGCCCAGCCCTCCCGTCCTCCCCGCTGCAGTCTGCCTGCCGCGCTGCTCGGGGCTGTGTAACAGCCCACCTTCCGGCCATGGCAGGAGGAAGGCGGAGTAGAGACCCCAGCTCATCCTGGTGGGGAGAGATGGGTGCCCAGTAGCTCAGGCGGGCTGTGGTGATCAGGTGCACCGCCTCGCCTGTCGCTCCCCAGCAGCCCTGTGCTTGGGGGACACTGCTGAGATTCAGGTTGGGCACCTCTGCCCTTTGCACCAAGGGAAACCAGCATTACAGCCCGAAATCCCTGGACCGCTGCGAACAGTCCCCTGGATATCAAGGTGGCTAAGAACGAAATTGCAGTAAGGAGAGAGGAGGAGCCTGGAGAAGCGCCGGGCCCCATGCCAGGCCCCGGCAGGGCTGCTCTCCCCACTCAGAGCCTTCCGAGTCGGGCACATTTTATTTAAGGCACCCGGACCCTGACATGACCCGTGGGTCCTCACACCGGCCGGAGAGGTGGGCTGGATGGGGGTTTCTAAGCCCCATTTTACAAATGAGAAAACTGATGCCAAGGTCACACGGGGAGCCCGCCAGAACGTGAACGTGACCCCTGGCTGGCGGCCACACCTGCTCGGGCCCCGCCTCCTGGCCGGGGAGGAGACCCTCGCTGAAGGATTGGGTAGAAGCATGCCACACCGGACGTCTCGGGCGTCGTCGGCTACTGTGCTCCATGGAGACGGCTGCTCGGGCCGGCTGGCCAGCCGTGAGGGAGTTGTGGGCAGGGGCTCAGCCGTGGAGCCCTTTCTGGGAGCCCGAGGTGTGTAGAGGTCCCAGTGCACGCGGGGCTGGGCACCGTGCCTGGGCAAGGAGCAGAGCTGGTGAGGGTGATGCGCCCTGCCCCTGCAGAGCCTCAGTTTCCCCACATGTGAAAGGACAGGGTTAGGCTGGGTGGTATCGGAGGTTCAATTCAGCGCCCATTTTGTACGAATCACAGATTCACAGAATCGACCTATTTATGGCAAAGTCTTTATTTTTTTCTTTAATTATTTATGGATGAGAGAGAGAAACATGGATTTGTTGTTCCACTCATTTATGAATTTATTGGTTGACTCTTATATGTGCCCTGACTGGGAATCGAACCTGCAGCCTTGAAGTTTCGGGAACAATGCTCCAACCAACTGAGCTACCTGTCCAGGGTGACAAATTCTTAGTTAACCCCAGGCATGAGCAGCTCCAAGCTCAGCCATGCTCGGAGGGAGGGAAGAGAAAGAAAGACCTGCTGATGAGCTAGTTAGAAAATCTGATGGTTAAAAAGGACACCAGAACTGCTGTTTCCATTTGACAGGTAGGGAAACTGAGGCTCAGAGAGAGGCTACCCCTTCCCCCAAACCCCGTGTAGATTTAGGCCTGGGCAGAGCTGAGGGAGCCAGGGAAAGAATAGTGGGTGAGGAGGATGCAGAGAGAGGGGGTTGGGGGGCAGGCTGTGTGGCCCCACAGACCGCGTTAAGAGCCAAGAGCCGCGGGAGCCGCTGGGGGTTAAGAGCAGGGAGTGACGTGGTCTGATTTACATTCCGTAAAGATCGCTCTGGCTGCTGTGTGGACAGGAGACTAGAGGGGCAGGGTGGAAGCAACAGAGCCGTTGGGGGGGCTATTTTAGTAGCCAGGAGACAGGGGATGGTGGCTGGGCCCAGGGTCCCCACGGAGCAGGTGAGTGGCACGGTCAGAGTCTGGATACCCAGGGAAGACAGGGCTGATGGGGACCCCGAGGCAGTCTTTGGCTTGGGCAGCTGCAGGAATGGTGGTTGCCGCTTGATGAAATGGAGAAGAATTGAGGGAGGAGCAGGCCGCAGGAAGAAGGGAATCAGAAGTCTGGACTGGAATGTATTAAACCCAAATGCATCCAGGGTTAGGTAGAGATGGAGCCAGCAACGGGATAGTCCAGTCTGGAGCTCAGGCTGGAGGTCCGAGGTGGAGATACACATTTAGAAGCCATCAGGATGCAGATGGCATTTAGAGCCAGGAGATCAGATGAAATCATCCAGGAGTGGGCGAAGCCAGAGAGGAGAAGCCGCCTGGGGACTGGACCGTGGGACGCTCGGACGTCTCGGGGTCAGGAGCGAAGAGGATGGAGGGGAAGAGACTGGAGGGAACCGCCAGGAAGGGCGGAGGGAAATCAGGAGAGCGCGGCGCCCCCGAGCCAGCAGAGGGGTGTGACCCAATCTGCAAGATACCACAAGGCGGCTGAGGAAGGCAAGCACCTAGGCTGGACAGACAATGCGAATATCGCTGATGACCTTGACAAGACAGGTTCCAGTGGAGTGGAGGACAGACACCTGATTACAGAGGGCTCAGGGGAGAGGGAGGAGGGGAGGCGGAGCAAGTGTAGGCATCGATTTTGTGGGGTTTGCTATAAACACGATCGAAAACAGGGTGGTGGCCTGAGAGGAGGATGAGTGAAGGGAGGCGTCTCTGCAGGCGGCCGGGCCAGGGAGAGCGGGACGTTTGATGGCGGAGGTGGGCAGGGGGTATTGCAGGAGCAAAGCCCCTGCACAGGTCCGAGGGCTGGAAATCCAGGGCCAGGTGGAGCGTTAGTGTTAAGAGCAGGGAAGACAGACTTTGAGGTGGAGATGGAGGTAGATTGATACAGTCGGTGATGAGAGAAGAAGAAATTTCTCTTCTGATTGCTGCTGTTTATCTCAGTGATAAGGAGCGGATCATCAGCTAGGAACGTGTCTGAGAGAGGGGGAGCCAGGAGGTTGCACTGACCTGGGAACGGAGTAGTGTGGATGCTGGGCCCAGGCTCCGGGGGCCCAAAGCGAAGGGGACAGCGATCCATGGGCCCCTGAGGGCCCGGTGTCACAGGAAGGGGGCTTGGCAGGACAGGACACGGTGGCCACCTGAGCCATCCCTACTGTCCCATCCTGGAGCCTGAGCAGGACAGTTTCACGGCAGTGACCCCCCGACCCTGGGAAAGACGCTGCCCTGGGCCCCTTGTCGGTTGGCAGGAGCCAGACTCTGGCCTGCATCCAACCCATGACTCTGGGGGTGCTCTGCGTGGCCTCAGGCCGTTAGCAGGTCTTCCGGTCCCGTCTCAGGGCAGAATCCCCGTCTCCATCCCCACGGGATCCCAGAGAGCAGGTGTGCCCTGCCTGCCTGCCTTCACTCGGGACCAGAACAGGGGCAACAAAGCCGAACAGGGCCTCAGAGGCCACCAGACCATTTCCACGTTGGCCAGCCTCTCGCAGAAATGGCCTGCCCACTTCCCTGAGACTGCGAGGACCCACTGGAACGCCAGCTTTGTGCGCTGGGGCTGGGTTGGCCTGGCACCTTTCATTAGCAGTGATTCGGCCTCATGAAAACAATTCATTACTGCCGTGGTAATGCAGTGAAGTGGTTCAGTAATGTGAGGCTCTTAGGCTAATCAGAGGAGTCTTAAGTGGCAGGAAAGTTGTGTTTCCATGAAACTCCCCATCCCATCTCCATTTCATAGATGGAGAAACCGAGGCTCAGAGAGAGCCCTCACTTGCCCAGAATTATAGAATGAATCAGCAGCAGTGCTGGGACTGAAACCAAGTCTCCTAGCTCCTAACCGTGAGAGGTCCCCCAGGTCGGATGTTTCTGGCCGGGTTTTGACTTGATCCCCCACCCCCACCTCCACCCGATTTAGAGGTTGTGGGAGGGTTGGAGGGGGCCGGGCCCAGCTTGCAGCCCTCCAGCCAGAGCTCTTCCTGTGGCCCCCTCCCAGCTGGGCATTACCTGCTGGTTAGCACAGCCTCCCACCAGCTGGGGTTGTTATGGAAACCAAACCTGGAGGGGAAGGGGGGAGGGCAGGGAGGAGAGGGTGGCAATCACTGCAGTAGCTGGTGCTGAGTGTACCCTCTGCCTGGCAGCCCAGGAGGGGCCATCTGCACTGAGCGGGAGGCTGCACATCAAGACCTGGGTGGAGCGAGGAGGCGGCCCGGGCCTGCCCTTCCTCCTGGATCCTCGGCCTCCAGACGCGCTCCCTCTGCACAGGGGCTGGTGGGAGCAGGTGGAGTTCTCACCCACCGCCCTCTGCTCTGTCCACCTCAGGACCCACGAGCCTACCCCAGCCGCCTGCCCCTGCCCAGCAGCTGGACTCTGGCAGCAAAAGTACTGTAGCATGGCCCAGTGGAGCACTTTGCCATCCCAGCAGGCCAAGCGCCACCCACCGCGGCTGAAGCTGGTCCTTTGCCAGACACGGGTCTCTCCTGCCTGGCCACACTCCAGGGCTCCAAGAGAGGCCTCACTCGGGGTCTGAGGCCCCAACCTGGGAAGCAGCCGGGCCTCAGGCTCTGGGTTGAGTCAAAGGAGCAACAGCCCTCGTGTCACAAACACGGTCACAGATACCCCTGCGCTCTCCCAGCCCCGTGCCCCACCTTCAAGACTTCCCCCTCCTCAGGGTCACTCCCACGAGTGTCCCGACTTCACAGACATACCACCCCCAGCCCCTCTCCTGTTCTCAGCCACTTGGCTGGCTTTGTAACCTGGGGCAGCACGTGGCTCGGGATCTTGGGGTCTCGGCCTCTTGGTGCTCAGAGCCAGCTGCGGAGGGGGCAGGTGATGAGCGCCAGGCAAGCCCTGTCTGTGCTGGGGACTCCAAGGGGGTGGGGAAGGCAGGTTCCACACTGGGACAGGCACAGACAGGTGGAATGCGCATCACAGGAGACTCCAGGGGACAGACAGGGTCTACTAGGGGGGGACAGGAAGGGAGAAGCAGGAACAGTTGGTTCCCTCTCTGGCCTGCACACTGTCCCACTCACTCCCTGGGCCCAGAAGAGACAGCCTGGAAAACCACATCCAAGCAAGAGAACTCTCCCCCAAGGCCGCACCCACTCAACCAGCAGCAGGAAACAGGGCCCAGGGCACCCATGGCTTCCGTGCGATGGCGACATTGGCGACGTTTCAGGCTCACCTTGACAGTCCTGTGGCAGCACCGTATCTGGACAGGGAGTCCGAGCCTGAGAGAAGCATGTGGAACAGAGGCCAAGGGTCTGAACCACCGGAGAGAGTAGAACAACCATCAGCTGTTGAGAGGGAGCAGGAACCAAGCTAGTGAGTGCACACGGGCCAGAACGAGGGAGGTGACTTCCGCCCCTGCCAGCAGGTGGGGCTGCTGCGATCGCTGCCCCGGGAGGAGGTCAGCCAGCTGAAGTGCGTCCGTCCGGGGCATGAAAGGGAGCCTCCTGTCTGAGGTGTGGCCAGAAGGAAAGTTCTGCTGACTTTGCATCTCCGGAGGGACAGAGTGAGTGAGGAGGGAGAGATGTGGTCCACGGGGCCCCCGGATGATGGACGGGCCCCACGAGTGGGCCGAGAGGAAGCTGGTGTCAGCCAGTGTCAGTTGGAGCTGGACCAGACCGGACCCTGCTGACCCCAGGACGCCCGCGGCGGCCGGAAGGCAGATGCAGAAGCTCTGAGTAGAGTAGTGGAGGGACCCAGGGGCCCAGGCCGCCTGGCAGAGCGAGGCCGGCTGCGGGGCCCGCCCAGCCCTGGCACTCCGGCGGCGTCACTGGGCTGATGCCCTGGGTCTGACATCACCCGGACACCAAATCAGACACACTTGGTCAAACATCAGACGTCCTGAGTCCGCTGTCCTTGGTTAAACATCAGACACCTTCGGTTAAATGTCAGACACCCTGGATGCGAAGCCTTTGGTTAAATATCACAAGTTGCTTGCCATTGTCCCGATGGCCCTGGTCACACTCTGTCCCTCCATCTCTCAGACCTCCTGGCCATGTGGCCCGTCCACGTGTGTCCTCATCCTCTGCTTGGGCCTGTCCCTGCCCCCCAGAGACGACTCCTTCCTCCTAGGCCCGTGGAGGCCTCCGAGGTCCAAGTTGTACGAGGCGGCCCTGAGGCCACTCAACCCTGCCCAGCGTCCCCGAGTCCAAGCAAACCCTGAGGGCTGCTCGCCTCTGGAAGCCACTCCTACTGTGGAGACCCATGGCCATCCTTGGGGGACAACGAGGGTCTCTGGGGTGAACTCATGGGGTAGGGGGTGGAGTCTCCCTAGGGTCCCTCCTCCTGCTTTTTTCTCTTCTCTGTCGGCCACTGCCCGTGAGCATTTGAGGAACCGAATGTGCAGGCAGCCTCCCTGCTCGTCTTCCAAAGCGTCAACTTGAGCCGTCTGCTTCTCCCCTTGAGTACTCGGGGACTCCCGAGCCACCGCTCACACACACACTTGCAGTGGGAAGGAGAAAGGGGGCAGTCCTGGGGACCCAGCCACACTTCTGAGACAGTCTCAGCTGGGGGGGCTTCAGGGTCCCCCGGTTTGGACGGAGCAGCCAGGCACAAGCCGATGGTCCAGGCTGCAGAAGACGCAGAGCAAACCCAGGATCAGGAGCCCACCTGCTCCCTCTCTCACCTGGCCAGGGCCTCCTGGAAACCTTCCCTCTTCACCCCGATGTGTCCACAGCCTCAGGCTCTGGTCCCCAGTGTCATGGAGAGTGTGGCAGAGTAGTTGCCTCCTGGCACCGTTACTTCACGGGATGTCACCAAGAAAGCCACCTGGGGCTTGCTGTGTGCATGTCCTTGAGGCACCACCGTGGCTGAGGTGCCCGTGGCAGGAGGGTGGAGACCGGGAAGAAAACCCGGGGCAGGCCCCGGGCCATCACATCCTGCCCTGTGGGAGAGGGCTGGTGGGCGTGCGGGGGGCAGGCTGAGGCGCTGCTTTGTAATTCCCAATAACTGTGGTTTGACTCTGCAGGTATGTATCAGAAAACATAAAACTAGGCAATTTGTCGGCTCTTCGAACTTTCAGAGTCCTGAGAGCTCTAAAAACTATTTCGGTTATCCCAGGTAAGATGCCCAGGTCTGCCTCTCAGATCTCCGCTACAAGTGACTCTCTCTCTGTCTCCCCTCCCCACCCCCCACCTCCCACGTGTCTCCTCTTGGCGTGTTGTCACTGTCTCGTGTGTGAATTTCCCTTGTTACAGATACACAACTGAATTTGTGGACCTGGGCAATGTCTCAGCTTTACGCACCTTCCGCGTCCTCCGGGCCCTGAAAACTATATCAGTCATTTCAGGTGAAAATCAGGTTAAACGCCAAGGCTGGAGGGACTTTCCAGCCACCTGAGAGTCGAGGCGACCTCAGGAAGGCCCCTCGAAGTGTGCCTGTCACCAGAATACGTTTCCCAGAGCTCGGGTGCGGGAGCCATCGGCGGTGGACACCGCTGTGTCCTCCGAGTCTCAGGATGGGCTTAAGGCTGCCCACTCCACCAGCCAGCCCACTCTGACAGACCCCCGGGGAAACACAGCACCCCACGGCAGGTCCTGGGTGGAACCCAGGTTCGTCCCCAGATCTCGATTTCTTCCCCAAACTCAACTCAGCTACTTGCATAGCTAAAAATTTGTACGTGGATTGCTTCTACCTGAAGCCTCATCCTCCGATCAGGAAATCCCATATACCCCTGGAACAACAACAACAAAAGACAACTCCGGCCCAGCCTCTCCTGGCTGCGTGCCCAGCCCTGCCTCGTGTCCCCGAGGGTGGTCTGTGCAGAGCAGGAGCCCAGCCCCGCGCTGCGAAGCGGAGTGTACTCTGCGGACAGGCGCCGTCGGCCTTGGCGTCTAACGGCCCTCGCTGCATGGTGCGGTAGAGGCGTAGCAAACCGCGCATGGTAGCCCGAGGAAGAAATTCTCCTTGACGGATGTTGGCAATTGTACCCAGAAACCTCCCCGGGCCGGGCCAGGCCAGGCGGCTTCTAGAGAAAGCCAGTCAGCCCCATTGATTCAGGAAAGCTCCCAAAAGACTTCCGGTGATTTCAGAGCCCCGGGGTTCTTCTTTCTAGAGCCCATTCTGAATGCGGCTTCTCAGAATGCAGAATGTGGAGAGCTGGGGAAGACACCTAAGAAAGCAGCTGGAGACTGGTTTCAGGCCAGGGACCCGGAGAGGGGTCAGAGCTGAGGGAGGGTTGCACCCACTCCTGATTTGGAAAGCTGCTGGGGCCTGACCCCCGGGCCTGCACTTGGCTGTTGCTGCCCTCAGGGAGGCAGGGGCCCTGCTCTGAGCCCCCTGGAGGAGGATGGACCCCCCCCACCATCATGATATTAATTATCTTATAAGAGGACCCTCCTTTATGCCGTGTTCACATGGAACCTCAGAAAGTTCCTCCTGCCCTCTGAACCCACTGTGGGGTGTGCACAGGGGCCGCTTGTCCCCGATAAGTGGCCCAGACCCCTGCTGAGAGCCAGTAGCAAGAGGGGCAGTCTGTCCCCAGCCGCTCCCATGGAGCTGCCCCCGTGAGAGAGGTGTCCTTTGCCTTGATAAACGCATACATGCTCAGAAGCCTCAGGGTCTGTCTCCTGGGGTCCCAGGGCCAGCGTCACAGCACACACCTCACAAGGGAGGGCAAGCACACTTGACCGTAGCAGTGAAGGAAAGGCATATTCCAGTCCGTTTTGTAAGAGACGCTGACAAGGGAAAATCTATCTCAGTCCTGGGGAAAAGTAGGAGGCCCATCGACCTCACCCCAGCTCCTTTGGATCTCTTCAGGGTGCCAGCAACCCAGAGAAGCAGCAGAGAGCAGACCCTGAGAGTGGGCATTAGGAGAATGTTGTGGTCAGTATCATGGAAGGCTCCCTGGAGGAGGTGTCTCCCGAGCTGAGTCTTGCATAGCCTCGCCCTCTCCAGACCTTGGTCTCCTTCCCCGTAAAGTGGGGACAGAACAGTATAACTGTTGGTGTCCGAGGGCTCTCTGCCTAACCTGTCAGAACTTCAGTGGCAGGAGGGTTTTTCATTTGGTTTCCCAGGACTTATCCCTTCCTGGGTCTTTTCAGAAAGAATCCCTTTATTTCATCGGAATTATTCTTGCTGGAAATGAACTCTGGAGTTAAAGGGGCTGGTCTGTGGTCATCAACACATTGTCCCCACGGGCACTGTCCCCACAGACCAGGATGTGCCTTGCTGGACCTTGAACTGGATGCTTTAGGCCAAAGGTGCTTTAGGCTAGCCTTGCAACAGAGTCCAACTTGAGTGGGCAAGCTGCTGCCCACCACCCCTCACTTTGTCACCACCGCCCCCATGCTACGGGCAGGGTCTCTGGGCCCAGCGGGCAGAACCAGAGTGCCCGCTGAGGGGTTCTAGGACCTCCACAAGAGAGGAGTAGTTCTGGACTGCAAGGGGCTCGGGAATCCCACCCCCCACCACCATCTCTCCCTGCCCAGACCCCTGCGAGGTCTACCCAGGTGGTTGCCAACATCTGCCAGGACGATTTCCACAAGCGCACTGAGTGCCTCTGAGCCCTGGGCAGGCAGCGGTGTTAGTGGCGTCGTGGCTGGGACTTCCTCTCCCTCCGCCGTGTTTGCCCAGCACTGCCTCCCTGCCTCTGGGTCATGGGCACAGCAGGCTCAGGCGCAGCCGCCACGGGTGCTCCTAACACATTAACCGGCTGGACGATGGATGGATGGAGCTTAATCTGAGATCTGGCCGCCTGTGTGGGGTGGGGTGGGGTGGGGGAGGTGGACGGGGCAGGCGGGGGGGGCCATGGAGGGGCAGGGCCCCTTGCTCCCCATGCTGTGCTCGAACTTCTTGTACGGCAGTAGCTCGAGTGTCAGACCGAAGGTGTCTACACGTGCTTGTCTGTCACTTCACCGTGTGGCGCTGGCTTCTGCGGGGAGCTGGGCTGGGCAACTAACAGATCACCGCCTCTCCGCTTTGGGGAACGGGATGGACGGGCATGGGTCCCAGGGGCACAGAGCAGAGGAGGAAAACGCAGTACAGGTCAACCCCTCCCCTGCCCCTGAACCTTTCCCGCAGTGGGGTGATGGGGGGCGTCACCCACCTTGGCCTTGCCAGACTTTCCCGTGCAGCCCCCGGCACATGAACTAGGTCCTCCACCAGGAACAGCCATGTCCCTCCCCAGCCCAGGATCAAGGCCAAGGCCAACACCCCTCCGTTGACCTGGAAGAGGCCTCACCACTATCTCCCTTCCTTAGGCTACGTTTAAAGGGGCAGGCCTGGCATACCTGGAGGGCAGAGCCAGAGGGGGACAGGCTGGAGGTTTTGCTTCCTCAGGAAAACAGCATTTTCCACCCCGCCCCCCCACTCATATGGATGGCTAGGGGAGAGCAAGGAGAACTGGGGGCCCTGACAATACGCGGCCAGACTGGACTCCCACCCCAGGGGGATCGGGGCGGGATCCCAGCGAAGCAGAGGGAGACTTGGGCCTGAAAAGCCCACGAGAGAGAAGTCCTTCCCTCTGCCCCCACCTCACGGTTGCCCAGGGGAGCAGGAGGCAGGTGGCCGTGGGTGAGCCCTGCCCGCTGTCGCCTCCCGCAGGCCTGAAGACCATCGTGGGGGCCCTGATCCAGTCTGTGAAGAAGCTGGCCGACGTGATGGTCCTCACGGTCTTCTGCCTCAGCGTCTTCGCGCTCATCGGCCTGCAGCTCTTCATGGGCAACCTGAGGCACAAGTGCGTGCGCAACTTCACGGAGCTCAACGGCACCAACGGCTCCGTGGAGGCCGACGGCCTGGTCTGGGAATCGCTGGACGTCTACCTCAACGATCCAGGTGTGGATTTGGCCCGGGGCCCGGACAAGGCTTTGTGAGGCCCCGGGGCTGGGCCACCGCCCACAGGGGCCGCGTGCCACAGGGCAGGCCCCCCTCTGGGGCCGTCCAAACGCAGCCCGACCCCCAGAGAGGCAGCTGTGTGTGCTGATTAAGGACCTGCCCTCGGGAGTTCCCAGGCGAGGTGGGGGGATGTGGCTGAATGGTCTGGAAGGATGGGGGTTGGTGGAGAGCCAGACAGGAGCAGCAGCAGCTGCAAGGCTGGGAGGTGGGACTGCCCCTGGAGGACGGGGACTGGCGAGGGGACCGTCCTGCCTACAGGGACAGGAGTGTTTGGGAAAGGGTGGGTCACGGAGCTGGGGCAGCTTAAGAGGCTTCAGAGTGGAGGCCCCCCGCCGCTTGGCTTGTGACTTCTCGATCCACTGCAGGGTTCCTTGCCAGGGTGTTAATTCCACGCACGCACTCCCCAGAACCCCGTGAGGGCGATGGGGCAAGCTCAGTGGTTGTCCAGTCATGTGAGCCCCTCTGCCCCACAGTTGGCACTGCCATTCTGCGGGCCGATGGCCAGCACGTCTCTTGGCCGGTGCCGCTGGGCTGAAGCGCAGGGTGTCGCTGCCTCGGGCTGTGCTCCAGACCGCCGGGCCCCCGAGGGCCGGTGTGGAGTCAGGCGCTCTCGCACACCACAGCAATCCACTTCAGGAAATGACGTGTAGACAGAAACTCCGTGAGGAAATCTGCATACGGTGCAGCTGGGGCCCCACAGCGGTGGCCCCGAAATTTCACATGCGCCAGAGTCACCGGGGGGGTCTTCGGGAAGCACACTGCTGGGCCTGCGCCCAGAGTTTCCGAGTCAGCAAAGCTGGGGGTGCAGGGGCACTCGGAAAGTTACGTTTCTATCCAGTTCTCAGTTGATGCTCGACACTGGGAACTGCTGCCCAAGACGAAGGGGGTAGCAGTGAGTGATGGGGACTGACGGGTGGCCATGCAGAGCGAGGTCCTGGGCCGCACCTGGCCCAGCCCCAGCCCTGGCGGAGGAGCCTGCAATGTGGCCCAGTGACTGTGGCAGGCGTCGCCTCCACCACCGAATGCACAGGGAAGCTGGTCCAGACAGAGCTGGGCTGTGACTCAGCAGCCAGGCTGGAACTCTGGCCAGGCCCCTGCCTCCTAGTTCAAGGCCTCACTGGCCCCTTGAATGGCATGAGGTAAAGTGCAGAAGCTCCTTGTGGGGACTTCCTGAGCTTTTGGAGAGTGTTGGGGACACTGGCAGCCAAATGCCTGAGGAAGAGGAGGAGGAAGGCCAGAGAAGTAGCCGGAGTTGCCTCGGGCCTGGTGGAGCAGAGGTTGGGGTCAGGGCAGGGGCAGAGGGGGGTGGGAAGACCACCAAGTGCTTCCACCTCTCCATAGCCTGGGTGCAAGGTGGGAACCCAGGAGTCCTGGCCACCATGCCCCTCACCACTGGATGTTTCTCTTCTAGAAAACTACCTGCTCAAGAACGGCACCTCTGATGTGCTACTGTGTGGGAACAGCTCTGACGCTGGGTATGTGGCGCTCGACCCCAGGGGCAGCGAGGCCTCCCCAAGCCTCCCTTCCTGCCAGGCGCCCAGCAGCTTTCCAGCCCCCTCCCATGGCAGAGGAGATAGCTGTGCAGGGGGTGCAGATCTGCAGGGAGGGTGAACAGAGGCCTGAGCATGGGGTGGCCCTGGGGTGTAGCCCAGGAGGCCCTGCGGGGCCCCCTACTAGCTCAGCCCTGGTTCCAGTCCTATCCAGAAGCCCTTCAGGGCCGCCCCCTCGCCCTCAGCCCTCTCCCTCCCTGCAGATCCATCCCTCAGTCGGGTCCGGAGTGAGTATGGCCTCCCCGGCAGCCTGGACCCTCCTGCAGGGCATTCGGGCTCCGGGCCTGCCCTGAACGGGGGACCCAGAGTGCCCACTAGCCATGTGCACACTGGGGCTGGGGCCATGTGACGGTGCTGTAGGTTGTTGGGGGCGGGCGCACACAGGCTCACCTGGTGGGGAAGGTCCTCTGCATGAAGTTCCAGAGCCCTTCATGCCACTAAGAGATTGTCTCAGGGTCTGAGGACATTGGCGAGGCCCAGAGGCCCCTGGCTGTGTCCTCCCACTCACTGAGCACCCAGCCCCTTCAGCCCCTTCTCTTTCTCGTGCACAGCAAGCACGCAGGAGTGCAGCTCAGTGCTCCCTCTTTGGAAGAGAGGCTGCACCTCCAGCCCAGTGCATTGGGGGTCTGCCTCATTGCCCCTGGGTATACATACAGCTGTGCAAATGCACAGGTTCTGTGGGCGTGGCCCGGCCCCAGCCCGTCCACCCCAGAATCACCCCTCAGCCCCTTGGTCCAGCCTTTGCCCTGCTCCATCCCGCTCAGCTCAGCCAGGCCTCACTGCTCCCCCACGTGCCTGCACTGGGTGCTCACTCCCCGTGGCAGAGGCAGGTAGAGGAAGAGACGTGAGCCAAGCCCTCAGCACTTCCTCTGCGAAGGGGGAGGCAGCTTGGACAGCAGCCTCTGTGAAGGGGATGGGGTGTCTTGTTGGCAGAGGAAATGGGAAGGCAGTGACCCGGGAAGGAGGAGGCACAGTATGAAGTGTGGCGGAGCAGGACTGAGCAGTGTGGCACTAGGTTTGTGAGGCTCAGCCTCAGGAAGCAGTCGGGCATACGCTGGGCTGCCCAGGAAGATGAGCCAAGCCGGGCAAGGGTCTTGGGGGCAGAGGACCCCTCACGGCACGAGACAGAGCCCACTTGTCTGGCTGCAGGTCATGCCCTGAGGGCTACCGGTGCCTGAAGGCAGGTGAGAACCCCGACCACGGCTACACCAGCTTCGACTCCTTCGCCTGGGCCTTCCTTGCGCTCTTCCGCCTAATGACGCAGGACTGCTGGGAGCGCCTCTACCAGCAGGTACGTGCGTGCGTGCACGGGCCAGCAGAGGGACGCCATGAACGGGCTCAGGACCCCGCACGGAGGCCAGGCTGTACCTGCCCAAAACGGCCCGAGAAGCTTTTCCACTGGCGAGAGCTGAGGGGGGTCAGGGGACTGGGGACCCATGCATCTGAGGGACAGGGGCTCAGCAAACAAACTGTCTTGTTGCTGATGACCAAATACCCCCCCTTTATATAGGACACTGTGCTCTGTGAGTGCGACACCCTTCCACCCTATGCGATGGAATAGTCCCCTCTGTAGGTGCATTTCCCCTGTCGACGGTGACATTCTGTCTCCCCCTGTGGGTGGGGCGTCATCCCCTGTGTGTAGGTCATTTTCTGTAGGTTAGCACACTCCCCTCTATAGGTGGGACACTCTGCCCCTCCCCAGAAGGGGGCCCAGTGTGAATGACCTCTGCCCCCTCGCTCCCCCAGACCCTGAGGTCCGCGGGGAAGATCTATATGATCTTCTTCATGCTCGTCATCTTCCTGGGCTCCTTCTACCTGGTGAACCTGATCCTGGCTGTGGTCGCCATGGCCTACGAGGAGCAAAACCAAGCCACCATCGCTGAGACGGAGGAGAAGGAAAAACGATTCCAGGAGGCCATGGAGCTGCTCAAGAAAGAGCATGAGGTGGGTGAGCCGGGCGGCCGAGGAGTCTCCAGACCACGCCGACACCTGGCAGGGGTGCCTGTAAGCATGGTGCCTGCTGAGGAAAGCTGTTCCCTGTGACCCTGGTGTCTTCTGGGTAAAGGCGCTTCCTATGAACATAGGGCATGCTGGGTAAGAGATCCATGTGGCCAGGGTGGCTCAGTTGGTTGGAGTGTTTTGTCCTCTACACCAAAAAGGCTGTGGGTTCAATCCCCAGTCAAGGCACATACCTAGGTTGAGGGTTCAGTCTCTGGCTGTGGCACGTGTGGGAGGCAATTGATCAATGTTTGTCTCTCACATCTCTCTCTCTCTCTCTCTCTCTCTCTCTCTCTCTCTCTCTCTCCCTCTCTCGCCCCCCCCACCCATTCTCTCTCTAAAATCAATAAACCTATCATCAGATAAGGATTGAAAAAAAAGAGAGAGACCCATGTGTCCATGGACACAGTTAATCCTGGTCGGGGGGTGCCTTCTGGTGGGGTGGTGGGTGTTCAAGGTCAGAGGCCTGAGCCAGCCCAGAAAATAGCCAGAGAGCAAGCCTGTCGGAAGCCGGGCTGTGGGCATCTCCTTTCTTCTCACTGCCCCACGCCACTACTGCCAGCACCCATTTTGGCCAGCCAAACCTTCTAGAAGATTCTCTGACCTCTAGTTCTGTCACTTCTGCTCACGAACACCCCCCTCCATCTGTCGCCCACACTCCCCTCCTTCAGGGGCTGCCCACATCAGCCACACTCTCCTGCTCCCTGACTTTGATCTCCCCAAACACCCCGGGTCTGTCTGAGCCCATCTCCCTGAGATGCCCTTATATGGGAGGAAGTGCCCACGTCCACTTACTGATGGGAAAAACCGCCCGAGGCCGCCTGGAGTCTCCGTGACCGAGACGTCCCTTCTTCCGCCCTTTTCCAGGCCCTCACCATCAGGGGTGTGGACACCGTGTCCCGCAGCTCCTTGGAGATGTCTCCGCTGGCCCCAGGAACCACCCACGAGACCAGGAGCAAAAGGAGAAAACGATTGTCTTCGGGGACCGAAGAGTGTGGGGATGACAGGTTCCCCAAGTCGGACTCGGAGGATGGTCCCAGAGCAATGGCAAGTCCCCAGCCGTGGCTCTGACCCTTTCTCGGGAGATGTGGTCCCCAAAGCCCGCGTGCTAGGTCCCTGGTACAGTCACAGCCCCGACGGTTGCTCCCCGAAGGGGAGCACTCTCGGGCCCCTCCCAGCCTTCCTGTTTCCTATGGCTGTTTTTGGAGCGGGCGCTGCCCTGGGGACGGGGCTGGGAGACACCCCGCTGTGTACAGTGGTTGGACACCGAGAACAGGCGCGTAGGAGTGAGGCGCAAGGCAGTCCGGGCCAGGCTTGTCTACACAGCAGGAGCCTTCCTGCCCCCTTTCCCCACCCGCCCCTCCCTTAGCCCCACCTTCGGGCCCAGGTGAGCTTCAGTCTCACAGCCCCAGAGGCACAGGCTCCAGGTGAGCAAGGATCCCAGAAGATCCAAGATTGCTCCAGCCCCGCACCCCTTCCCTGAGGACCCCCTCGCTCAGCCACCCAGACTCGCACGGCCGGCTGAGCCCTCGATGCTCCGAGTTGGGGCCGGTGCCGCAGGAGACGGGCTGGGAGCACTTGGAGAGCTGTCTTGCTCACATCCCCTCTCCCTGTGCCCTCAGAATCATCTCGGCATCACCCACGGCTTCAGCCGGACCTCCGTGAAGTCACGTTCCAGGCGTGGGAGTATTTTCACCTTTCGCCGGCGAGACTTGGGTTCCGAGACAGATTTTGCAGACGACGAAAACAGCACGGCAGGGGACAGCGAGAGCCACCGGACGTCCCTGCTGGTGCCCTGGCCCCTGCGCCGGCCTAGCACCCAGGCACAGCCCAGTCCCGGGACCTCAGCTCCCAGCCACGCCCTCAATGGCAAAAGGAACAGCGCCATAGATTGCAACGGGGTGGTCTCCTTGCTGGGGGCAGGTGAGCCTGAGGCCACCTCCCCAGGGAGCGGCCTCCTGCGCCCTGTGATGCCGGAGCACCCCCTGGACACGGTGAGCCAGCCCCCCACGGTGTAGCACCAGGGCAGATCTGGTCTCCAGACTCATCCCCAGGGCCGGGTCCAAAAACACTCACCCAGCATTCCCTGAGCACTGGGTGTGTGCTGGGCTCTGCGGGCGGGCGTGTTATGGGGATAAACAGAGGTGATAGTTAGATATTTAGCAGCTGGTGGGGCCTGGGCACCAAGATGACTTGGTAGCACAGGGCCAGGGTCCAGGAGGGGCTGTGTGTGCCAGGCATCAGCCCCTTGGAGCTGCTGGACCCTGGGCCCTCCAGGGCTCCGGGGAGAAGGGCCAGAGGGGCAAGAGAAGGCTTGCCAGATTCGGGGCGACAATTTTTCACCAAGTTTGAAGTATTTCAGTGCACTACAACTGGTGACTCAATGTCAGCCCAAGTACTAAGTCCTGTAGGAGGACGGAAAGAAGAGCAGAGGGGAGGGAGCCCCCCGGACCCCGTTCACTAGAAGGCATTGAAGCAGAGACAGGAAGGAGGCCAGGGTGGGGGCCACGCTGCCTTCTGGAACCCGGAGGGCTAGCATGGAAGAGTGGATAGCACCCGGGTTCCGGGGACAGACTGGTTTAGGATCCTGGCTTGTGGCAAGTTATTTTATTTCTCTGGGTGTCTGTCATCTGTAAAATAGATTTAAAAAATGCCCATCTGAGGACTGCTGTGAGAATTAATGGGCCAGTATGGGTAAAGCAATTAGGACATGCGTGAGTTTGTCGATGTCGTAATTACTTATGACAATGTAATTACATATTACAATGACGTGATGCTGTCATTACATCCTTGGGGGTGGGGAGGGGGGCGTGTTCCAGGCTTAGAAAGCAGCAAGTGCAAAGGCCCTGCGGCAGGAATGCGCCTAACCTGTGGGAGGCGATGCCATGAGGTCCGTGTGGCTGGAACCCAGGGAGCACAGGGGAGAAGGGTCGGAGTTACTGTCAAAAAGGTAACAAGGAGGTCCGGGCCGGGCCGGGCCAGGGAAGACCAGTTAGGAGTTTTGATCTCTCAGTCCGCTGATCCCAGGACAGACAGATGACTGCCCAGGTCACCATGGAGTGTCCCTGCGGACCCCTGATCCCCAACTCAGGGCCCAGAGCAGCCCACCCAGACAGGGCAAACCTGTGGCTCAGACCCCGATGCCCACAGGGAACTGGAAGAGGGCAGACTTTCTGAGGAAGCGAGGACAGGACCGGGAAACGCTCAGGAAGGGGGAGGTGGGGCTGAGGAGGAACAGTGCGTGGCCCAGCAGCCCATCTCGCTCAGACTCTTGGTCTAGCTGTGAGCCTCTGCACTGGTTAATACAGTTGTCTGCCCCTCCCTTTCCTCGTCTGCAAAGGGAAAACAAAGTTAACGTTCACGTCAGCAGGTTATGCAAGGGCTGAGAGTTAAAACCTGCCCGATGCTTAGACCAGTCCTTGCCTAATGCTCCAGTAATTATTATTATTGTTATTATCTATTACTATAATTATTGAGCAGGAAGGAATCAAGACTCCAGATGCATTGCAGAGTGCCTGGGGCCCTCACATGCTTTTGGAGCGAGAAGTCCAGGAGAGGGTCCTGGGACCCCCCTGGGGACAGACCACAGCCTCTGGGTGGACCCGGGGAGGCCTCTGGCCATCACCTGTAGGGTGGGAGTATCTGACGCCCCAGGGACGCTAAATCCCAGTGGCTGCAGACCCCTCTTCCTGCCCAGCGCTGGAGTCTCATCCTTGTGGAATCAGGTCAGCAGCCTGGAAGCTAATAGAATTTCCTAATCTCGTTAGGGAGAAAATTGTCTCGTTGTTAGCGCACATGTCAGGAGGAATCCAAGTTCAAACACTTCATTATCGGGGATTCTGACCTCACCCATTCTCACTTCTGTAGGGCCCATTTGTAACTGGAAAGGGACTGGCCGGCCGAGGGGGTCATTGGCAAAGGTAAAGGAATTAGTAGACCAAGATGGAGACTTCGAAAAGCTAAAGAGATTAGCCGGCTGTAGGCCCCTGGGAATGCCTTCTTGGTTCCCACTCAGTTCCGGGTGAGACATTTCTGCCCAGTCCTAGTCTGAAAACAAAGCACTGTGTTGGGCACATAGTAGGTGCCAAATTAGCATGGGAGGGCAGGGAGGAAGGGTCATCCCAGCAGACAGCTCATGTTCCATTTATCCAGATTTGGGGGCGGGGCAGGTTACTTTGTCCACTGTTTGGGCGGGAGTACCTGTCCCTGAAGGCCACCTGGGGCTGGGCGAGGCACACCCAGCAGCCACTCACTGGCCTTTCGTCCTCTCCCGCCCACCCACCCCATCATCTAGCAAGTCAGAGGCAGAGCTAGAGCTCGAACCCAAGCCTCCTGACCCCCGGCGGGCTGTGCTGAGTGCCAAGCAGTGTCTGAGGCTCCAGGGTTATGGCACTGAACAACACGGACAAGGGCCCCGCCCTGGTGGAGTGTACATAGCGGTCAGGCAGACAGTGAACCGGTCGACATTTCCAGGTAGCAATAAGGGTCACGTTATAGAAAGTTGCTAAGGAGAGTTTGGGAGATGGGGGCTTTTAGTGGGGATAATCTGCAAAGTCCTTCCAGCAGAAGTGACATTAAAACTGACAGGCACATGATTTGAGGGAGGCAGCCACGAAGATGTGGGAGAGCGGCTTTTCAGGCAGAGGGGGACAAAGGGCAGAGACTCCGAAGAGACACGGGGTTGACGTGTTCACGGGGTGAGAGAGCCGGGCAGGATCAGGTATGGGGGGGACCCGAGGAAAGGGATCCGGGATGAGTTTGAGGAGTGAGGTGTTGGACTGTGCAGAGCCTTGTAGGTGATAGAAAAGTGTGGATTTATTAAGTAAGCGGGGGAGCCATGGGCTGGGGGAGCTGTTGATCAGAGGAGTATCATGATCTGATTTTTAAGGGACCCCCTTCCTGCTGTCTAGAGGGTGGGAGGAAGGGAAGAAGAAGCCAGCGAGGAGGCTGTTGTGGTGGTTTTGGGAAAGAGATGATGAGAGCTTGCACTAGGATGGTGTATCCGTCAGCTATGGCCACGGTGACGCTGTGTAACAAACTACTCCCTCAGTCAACGGCTAACTACTTATTATTCTCAAGCTCACTTACCTGCAGGTGGGCAGTAGTTTGGCTGGTCTAGGTTGGGCTTGGCTGGGCAGCTCTGCTTCAGACTTCACATTGGCTTGGCTCCCCGCTGTGGGTTAGACTCAGGGCTGCTCCTCTCACCTTTGTGCGGAGGCCCAGGCTGAGCGAGGGGCAGCTACCTGGGGAAGCTCTTTCCGTGGAGGATTACTGGCGCACCAGAGCAAGGCAGATGGCTTCTGTCCACATCAGGTCCACTAACGTGGCATTTTCCAAAGCAAATGTGTCATCAACAGGACAAGGAAGTTTATTTACCCACACTGGAAGGGGGAAAGAGTTAACGTTTACTAAATGATAACTCCAACTTTCCAACAGTAAAGGAGGAGAAGAGAGGTTGGGAGAATTTCAGACAAGCTGGTGAGTTAGGCTGGTCAGTAGCACCTAGAGTACCGCTGTTACACCAGCCACCTCAGCCCTTCTCAGGTGCCTCTGCTTGAATACCCCCAGTGACTGAGGGCTCACTACCTCCTTAGGCAACATTTCAGGGCAGTCCCACCAGTGACAAAGGTTGACCTGAACTTCGGCCCAGATGGATTTGGCTCCCACCCCCAGGCGCTGGCTCTGCCACCCTGGGTAGCCTAGGCCCCACCCCGTGACCTACAGAGATGGTAGAACCTCGCTTTTGCATGCCGAACAGCCAGGTGCCTTCAGCAGCCCTCAGCACGAGCTCATAGGCTGTGGTTATGCGAGGCTGTGCCGATGTGAAGCCTTTGTGGGCCCCCCCTTCATTCTGGTGGGGGGGGGGGGTTGCCAAGGAAGCCCAGAGAGTGCTGCTGCCACCTGCCCTCATCAGGACACGTCTCCATGTGCAGACCTGCTGCTTTTACTGACAAAAACGACGCGAGCACGTGGAAAGCAGAGCAAATGGTGCGGAAGCGCATGGAGCGAGCGGGAACTTCTCCCTCTCCTTCCCCTCCCCCCACGGTCCCATTCCCCAGGTACAGCCGCTCTGCCAGTTCGGTGCGTGTCTTCCAAGTCTTTGTCTCCTTCCCGTCAGACGGGATGTCTTGGACGCGCTCCCCCGGGGGACACACGTGGCACTGCCTTGTTCTCTGCAGCGTCTGTGTCAGGGACCAGAGTCGGGTCGTACCCATACTTGATCTTAAAATTCTCCCTATTGATTCGTTGTTCTGTCTTTACAGTAACGGGAACAAATGCTGCAAGGAACATCATTGTATGTGTATTTTTGGTGCACGTGCATAATTATTTATGAAGTCAGATTACTAGCCGAGGAATTGCAGAGCCCGTTTAAAATTTTCTTGGTAGACAGAGCCAGGCGGACTCCACCAAAGCTCCCCACCAGCCACCCCAAAGCGTTGTGCTTTATGCCTGTGTTAACGTCGCCGTAGAGCACGGGGGATTGTTTTTCAGCTTCTTCACGCCCGTGCCTCCGGGGAGCTTGTGGCCAGTTAGGACTCCCAGATCGTGTTTGCGTGAACTCACGTGCACAGCAGCACCTGGGTACTAGAACTTGGTTACGTGGCTCCCGTCCACACTCAGGAGTCACCGCTGCTGAGAGATGGAGAAGAGCAGGGAACAAAGGAGATGATCATCGGTGGGAGGGATGGCAGGGGAGTTACTGGGTGGGAGTGGGGAGCCGAGAAGCCCAACAACCGGTGTTGCATCAAGACCCCCACCCTGTCTCCCTGGGACCCCCCAACCTGAGTCTGGGCCAGGTGCCCCGGGTCCAGCAGAGCCCCGTCCCCAGGCTGACGCGTACCTCCTGGTTGTACCCAGACCACTCCGTCGGAGGAGCCGGGCCGGCCCCAGACGCTGACGCCCCAGGCTCCGTGTGTGGATGGCTTCGAGGGGCCGGGAGAGCGGCAGCGGGCCCTCAGCGCAGTCAGCGTCCTCACCAGCGCGCTGGAAGGTCAGCACTGCCCGCTCCCCCGCCCGACCCCCGTGTTGTCCAAACACTCCCCGAGTCTGGTCTAGGCCTCATTGTCCTGACCCAGCCAGGCTTCCCCCAGCCGCTCGGCCCGCCTTGCACGTCCCCGCAGCTGTTCCAGACTCTTCGGTCTGTGTCCCCTGGCGTCCCCAGGTGTCCCTTCATCTGTTCCAGCCTTTCCTCTCCTGCGCCTCCTCAGGAGCCATGTCTGTATTTCTTCCCAACATTACTGCAAGTGTCCTGGCCGGTCCCGGGTGCTCATCAGTCCCACCTGCCTTCTCCCGAGCACCCCCATGTCTGCCTGGGTCTGGCCTGTCCCAAGGCTGCCTGCGCTGGCCCCACCCCAGCCAGTCCCACATCTACCACAGGCTTTGCCAGGCTCCCCACATCTGCCCCAGCCAGTCCCACCCCTGGTGACCCACGTCCGATCCTGTCTGAACTTGGCATCCCCCCGTATGAGAACTTGGTCTCATCCCGTATGTGTTCACTTCTTTCTGGCCTGTGCCAGGTACCTCCTGTCTGTTGTAATACGTCCCAGATGCCCACAGCTGCTCCTCCTGCCTATTCCGTCTGCCCTGGGTGACTGTCATATCCGAGCTGGCCTGTCTCAGATGCTGTTCTCCTTGTTTGTTGACAGTCTGTCATCCTCCAACTGTCCCCATGTCCGTGTGGGGCTATGGGAAGACAGCCCGCACCTGCCCTGATCTGCCCTATCCTGGGTTTCCCCGAGTCCATCCTAGCCCCCCTGTCCCCATCCCCATGGCCCTCTTCTCATATTTTCCAGGGTGAGGGCTGGGGACACAGGCTGTCCTTTCCCTTAGTCTCTGCCCCTTTCACTGTCCCACTGTCATGTATCAGCCCTGTCCTCTCTCCGGCTAAGTCACACGTCTTTTCTGGACTCCCATGAGTTGTGTGTGACTCGGTCAGCTAAAACAAACCAGCTTGCCGGCTGTGCCCCCAGAGCTGGAGGAGTCCCACCGCAAGTGTCCGCCCTGCTGGAACCGCTTCGCCCAGCACTACCTGATCTGGGACTGCTGCCCGCTGTGGATGTCCATTAAGCAGAAAGTGAAGTTCATGGTCATGGACCCATTTGCGGACCTCACCATCACCATGTGCATCGTGCTTAACACGCTCTTCATGGCGCTGGAACACTACAACATGACGACTGAATTCGAGGACATGCTGCAGGTCGGAAACCTGGTAAGAGCCCCCAGCAGCTGCCTCTGAGGTGGGCATCGTGGCGTGAAAGGCCCTCAGCAGCCGGTCTCGGTCTTGGCGGCTCGAGGAGGAGGGATCCAGAGCACAGAAGGGTCTTCTGATGGGGGAGTCACTGTGGAAGGCGCCTTGAAGTAGGGGGTTTCAGGATCGGCTTTTAAGGAAGTGAGAGAGGTAGTTGGGAGTGAGAGATTGGGGATAAAGGTTCATGAACACGCCCAGAAGCCGGAAAGCCAAAGGGAGGCAGGGCTGAGCCTAAAGTGTGTGGGGACCAGAGGCTGGGCCAGGGAAGTGTGTGCAGGAAGAGGTAGTTTTCCTACAGCCAGAGCTTCTGTAGGTGGGCGTCAGTGTTTGGTGGATGGAGGAGAGGATGGACGGGTTGTGGGATGGAGAGAAGAAGGGACAGAGGGATAGAGAGCTGGCTGGCTGGCCGGCTGGCTTGCCGGATAAATGGATGGATGGATAGATGGATGGCTGGGTGCTGTGGGTAAACCATGCACAGCTAGACTGGAATTCTGACTCAGCTCTTACTAACTATATGTGACCTCAAGCAGATCACTTAGGCTCAGTAATTGGCACAGAACATATTTGCGGAATTTAATAACGGTAAAATTAGCAAGGCAGCCTCAGCCCCATAGGACGCTGATGAGGACTGAATAAGATAATGTGTGTGACGTGCTTGGCTCGGAGTTTGAGAGACAATAAGCAGTAAGGATAAATGGTGGCCGTGGTTATTATCATTGTTATGTTATTAAAGAGGCTGTCCCTGGGAGTCGGAATATCTGGGTTCTGATTCTGATTTTTTTTCCCTCTGGAGACTAAATCACGTCCTACCTCTTCACTAGAAAGGTGGGAAACTGAGGCCTGAGAGGGGACATAGTGGTGACAGAACTGGGCATGCAGCTACTGTCCCAGGACTCTGAGTGACAGAGCCCTATTGGCCCTGTGCCAACAAACCCAGGGTCAGCCGTTCCCCAGGGGATCCTCGGGCAAGGCTGGTGAAGACCCCACTGGCCTCCGAAAGGGGCTGCTGGGACCGTCACTGAGTTTGGGGGGGAGGCAGGGTTATTCACCCTGACCTCTCACTGCAGACCCAGTCCTGTGTTGTCCCAGCTGCACAGCAGCCCCCTCCGCCCCCCACTAGGCAGGCTGGTCTCCCACACTTTGGGATCTGGAGATCATCTTCTCTTATTACTTTCCATAGCCGGGGCTCTAGGTAGTTCTCGGCAGGATCTCCTGATATTTTCCCACAAGCGTGGGTCCATTGCTCTCATTCTGCTTGTATACGTGAATGGAAGGGGAAGCCGTATCTCAGTCTGTAGGAGCCACGGGACACGGTGGTGGCTCCCTTGTCTTGGTCTGCAGACGGGGGTGACGTGGGCTTCGGCTGATTGTGGTGTTGATGGAATGTGGCCGTTGGTTTAGACGGAGCAGCAAGCCCCGGTGATAAAGAGCTCCGTTGGCTTCGCTGCATCATTAAGGTAGTGATTGGATGGCAATTGTGTTAAACTTGAGGTTCCATCGTTACTAATGGGTCACGCAGTTGGATTATAGCTGTTATCTTGTTCTGTTTGGGTAGCGTTATTGCTAGTACATAAGATTTTTATTATCTTGCAGTTAATACATTTTAGGTGGTTTAAATATTAAATGGAAAGAAACAAAACCACAAAAATAAGCGTGAGGAGGTAATCTTGGTATGGGAAAAGCCTTGCGAAGAGTGTCACTGAAGACAAACTCCAGGAACAAAAAGATGTATAGGTTTAAATGACTCTCAGCCCATCATATAATCGAAAGGCAAAGGCCAGTGAAACTTCCGTTCCTAGCAATGCAGTGGACAAGAAAGCCCGGAGAGCCTCCGACCGCCAAACAAAAATACAGCAAACGTTCTTTGACGTGCACAGCCACGTTCATGGGAAAGTAACCACAGTGCCCAAGTGCCAGACACAGAGAGGGACTTGCAGACCGTAGCGGTGAACACGGGAAATGCTTCTGTGGTTGCGCCGGCCAGGATGCGGGCAGGGAGAAGCTGATGGTTTGAGTAATCCGGGGTGTGGGTTTCCGTGAACATGTGTATAGAGGCGTGTCTTTGGCGCAGTGTGAGTGGGGGTTGGAACGGAGTAGCCCCGGAGGAACGGGACCCTGCCTTCAGTAAAATGGCGAGCTGGAAAAACTTGCACACCGACGCGGGGAAATGACACAGAAGGAAGCCGGTCGGTCTCAGCCAGCACCTGCAGTCCCTGGGGTGGGGGGACTTACAGCCTCAAGTATACACAGTGGGCAAAAGTGGTTTTACAGTTGTTCACATGGGAAATAATACAGTAATTAATAAATAATAATACAAGAATAAACTCTGCCTCATGTACTCAGAACTGTAAACCGGCTTGTCTCAATCTGTATACATTAAAAAAGAAAAGTTGGAAATTAATGTGCTAGTCATTCGATTCAAGTTAGAAAAAATAAATAAAAACTCAAAGAAAATGAAAGAAAAAAGAAGAAAGGAAGACATAATTTTAAAAGTGTCATTAGAGAGAAGTTTGAAAAAAAGACATTTTTTGAAGAGCTTAATAGACAAACTTTCAGCAAGATTAAAATAAAAAATGGAAAGCACAAATAAAAAATTAAGAATGGAAAAAGAGCATAACTACACAAATAGCAGAGCTTAAAACACAGTATTAAAAATTATAAACAACTTAATGACTATAAATATTTTCAAAGATTTTATTTATTTATTTATTTATTTATTTATTTATTTATTTTTAGAGAGAGGGGAAGGAAGGGAAAAAGAGAGGGAGAGAAACATCAGTGTGTGGCTGCCTTTCACATGGCTCCCACTGGGGACCTAGCCCACAACCCAGGCCTGTGCCCTGACTGGGAATCGAACTGGCAATGCTTCTGTTTGCAGCCCATGCTCAATCCAATGAGCTACACCAGCCAGGGCTAATGCCTGTGCAAAAATTTTTCTAGAAAAATAGAAGTTACCAAGAAGAGATTTTAAAAAATATTTTATTTAATTTTTTAGAGAGAGGGAAAAAGAGGGAGAAAAACATCAGTTGTTTGCCTCTCTCACATCCCTATCTGGGGTCCTGGCCTGCTACCCAGGCATGTGCCCTGCCGAGGAATCGAACCTGGTAACCTCTTGGTTTGCAGGCCGGTGCTCAACCCACTGAGCCACACCAGCCAGGGCATCAAGAGGAGATTTAACATCACAAAGAAAGAGGAAAAAAAAGTAAACAAATTCAGCAGTGTATGGTTAAGAAAAGTCAAATAAACAACGAGAAAACTCCTCATGATCAAGTTGGGTTTATTCCAGGTACATATGATCTTCCATTCAACATCTAAAAATCAGCTTAGTAAAATTGAATCTTTGTGGTAAGAACTCTTGACAAACGAGAAATAATCTGACAAAATATCTATAAAAGTCTATGGTAAATAACACACTTGACCATGAAACGTTAGCAGCCTTCCTATTAAAAGTCAGGAACTGGCCCCGGCTGGTGTAGGCCAGTGGATTGAGTGCAGGCCTTCGAATCAAAGGGTCGCCAGTTCGATTCCCAGTCAGGGCACGTGCCTGGGTTGCAGGCCAGGTCCCTGGTAGGGGGCACACAAGAGACCACCACACATGGACGTTTCTTTCCTCTCTTTCTCCCTCTCTTCCCCTCTCTCTAAAAATAAATAAATAAAATCTTTAATTAAAGAAAAGTCAAGAACTGTGCACAGATGTGATAGTGGAGCTGATAATAAGCGGTAAGGAAGATGCTATCATCATTATCCCTATTTTACTGGTGAGGGAACAGAGGCACAAAGCAGACAAATGACATAACCAAGGTCGCACAGCCAGGAAGCAGTGGAGCCAGGATTTGTTTGGAGAGCCTGCGTTCTCAGCTAGCACATCACGTCACTCCCTGCTTCCAGTACAAAAGGGAAAGAGGAAGCAAACAGGTCTCGAGTTCTTTTCCGGATCAGGAAAACCCGCGGAAGGACTAGGAGGACCAAGAAGAGAGTTTTTCAGTGCTGGCGGATACGGGCACAATTTGCCAAGATTGATTCTGTCCTGAGCCTCCGTGATCACGTGGAGAGAGGGGCTTTTAAAGTTAACGTTCTTAAAAACGAATCACAATAAAAACTATGAGGAATCTAGGAATAAATGTAGCAAAAGATTATAAATTTTATTTGAAAAAGGTTTTTAAAAACATAGGAGACTTAACTTAGTGGAGAGGTATGCCTTTTTTTGTGAAGGAAAGTCTCAATGTTGTAGGGAGAGCAGTTCTAAATATCCAAGTTAACTTAGATATTTAGTGGAATTCCAGTCAGAATCCCAACACATTTTTTATGGGGACTGATAAGGTAACACTAAAATTCATACGAAAATTAAAGCCCATCAGGATACATTAGAAGTAAGGTGGGGAATTTACCCTACATGTATGTATTAAGATGTACCATGAAGTTATAGGAATGAAAATATTCTAGTCTGGGTGCAAAGATGGAAAGTCGCACCAGCGCTGCTGAATTGAGCACTCAGAAATGGGGATGCGAATCTGCAGACTTGATAAATAATAGAGATGGCATTATAAATCAGCAGAAAAATGAGAGATTATTTAATAATAAATAATGCCGGGCACAGGGGTTATCTAGAGGAAAGAAAATACATTTGGATTCCTACCCCACATTATACTCATTAATTAGTTGTAGGGAATTGGATCTGAAACCTAACTGTGATAAGGCAAAATTTTTAAGCTTTTAGGATAAAAATGGGGGGAAAAACATTTAAAGTCCTGGGGTTGGGAAGGCTTTCTTCCATAACATAAAGAATTTATACCGTGAAAGGGAAGATTGATACATTTATTTATATTAAAATTAAAAAACACCGTAAAATAAAGCATACGATGAAATGAACTGAAATCACTACCACAAGCTAGAAATTGATATTGTGAAAAGCATTTCACTAGGAAGACGTGAGATCCAGAACAGCTACGGAAAGTTCCCGC